ATTTTCCTCAAGTCATATATTGTAAATTAATTTGTTGGATATTTATTGCAACTTAATACAATATATATGCCAAGAATTACAATGGTAATAATAATATTATTATTTCCATTATTAAAATTTATGTAATTTAAATAAAATAAATAACGTTAAAATAAACTAAAAAACACACTTTTATAGCATACGAAAGTAAAAAATAAACATCGTTAAAAAACACGCTTTTAAAAAAACATCGATAAAAACTTATAAAATAATTATTAAATGAAGCTTTAAAAACTGATGATCAAATAACACTAGCATTATTGTAAAAAAAGCGTTTTATTCTATTAAGTTTTTTTTTTATTTATTTATTCGCCGTTGAGCTACGTCACAAAGCTATACCGCCTCATCCTTCCATCCAAATTAAGAAAATTAAAAACACGTATTACAACATTTTCAAAAATAGGTAGATTTAAGGCTTAGGGTGGTAGACAGGTAGACTGAGGGCAAAGTAGGTAGATCTACTTAAAAGTTTGTAGATCTGGCAACACTGCTTGGTTGAATTACCATTGGTAAATCGATTAATATAATCATATCTCATGCTTAAATTGACCAATCTTTTGGCAGAATCAACTTCGGTAAATTGTTTGAAACAACCAAGTTTCATATTCATATCGACCAACATGTTGGTTGAATTAACTTCGGTAAATTGGTTAGTACAACGATGTTTCATGCTTATATTGACTAACCTATCGGTTGAAAGAACTACGGTAAATTGGCAAGTACATATTTCATAGTTAAATTGACCAACACTTTGGTCAAATTAACTTTCGTAAATTGATTAGTTTAGCCACGTTTCATGTTAATTTTTACCAACCTCTTGGTTGAATCCACTGTGGTAAATTGTTCATACAGTCACATATCATAGACATATCGACTACGATCTTATTTAAATTGAAGACTAGGAGGTAGTTGCTATAGTTATTTATTATGATCAAATTGAATGAAATCTTAACTATCTTAACAAAGTAACTATAGTAAAAATAATAAAAACCATCTTTTTTAATGTATCTAACATCTTGTCAGGCTCATATGGAAACAAGATGCTTGGTCACATACATCACAATATTGTTTGATTTAACAATTTTTTTTTAGAGTGTATGTGGCTCTATAAATTAAATATTTGCGCGGCACCTTCTGCGCATACACCCGGTTTATAAATTCTGAAATTAAAGAATGTCTCAAATTATACTTAAATATCACTTAAACAAGTTTTCGTTTCTGACTTAGTTTTTATACAGATCAATCAATAGCAATTTGATATTACAAACCGCGTGTAAGTAGCAATGCAGCACATAACATCCTCTTCTTATAGTGGTGCTTCTTCACGCTTATCTTTCCCCTTTTAATATAACTATCAACGATCGTCGTGTGCCCCCGGCATTACTCTTTAAGCTCACGTATAATTAACACGGGTCTGTAATTACACACGCCAAGTCGCCAACTTGTAAGTAGGTACCTAAATAATTAACAGCTTCTGTTCGAACTTTGTCAGGGAAATTCAGAAAATCGTATTTCTAAAATAATCGATCATATATATACAGAGACGAATGTAAGTGAGTGTCTTCATTTTAGTTTCCTATAAATGTGTGATTTCGGTAAGATTGCGTGAACAATTATTAGTTCATCATAAAACTCAAATCTTCATCTATTTTGTTAATCGATTATGTACTCGATATAAAAATGTCTTAACGTACAAATTATTTAGTCGCGTACTGGCTAAGTAAATATTACATCCGTCACTATATTTTTCGCGTTTTCCTGTTAACTTACTAAAACAGTAATATAACATTTTACCTTGCCGGTGATGAAAAGGTGAGGAAGAAAACAAAAAAGGCATCTCGATGTACAAAAAGTAAGAAGCAAATCCAAGAATTAATATAAAAGAGTAACATATAACATCTATCATTACATATAAGTAGGGAAATTTGAAACAATGAAGGTACCACAATCAAGGGGAGTCGGATAATATAGAAAGGTTAAACATTCAGTCAAAAAAGTGTCGGGAATGGATTATTTGTTTATGGTTCCAAATTCAATTTTTGTTTCATTGTTTGTTGTTAGATTGGCACATCTGTTTTCCATTTTGGCGCGGAGTTTTAGTTGAGAGCAAATTAAAGCAAATTCGACGAAAAAAAGCCTGATTTGTGGAAAGAAAATTCTTAGATTTTGCATCACAATAATGTGCCTTCGCACAAGGCCATCTTTGTGAACGAACTTTTGTCCAAACACTCAACAAATACCATCTAGCAATGCCCTTATTCACCAGATATGACTCTAGCCGACTTTTTTTTCCTAAACTCAAATTACCACTTCGCAGAACCCTTTTTTTTAATGTGTAGAAGACATAAAGAAGAATTAATTTCATGAACTGAACTCAATTCCGGAAACAGCGTTTAAAAAACGTTTTGATGATTGGATTATTCGTTGGCGTAAGTGTATCGTTTCTTAAGGAGCATACTTTGCAAGTGATAAAATAAATTTGATAAATAACAAACATTTTGTGTATTATTAATCTTTTCCCGGTACTTTCTTGACAGAGTGGTATACCTACCTAGAGCGTCACTACTGAAATACCTAAAAATTGGCGACATAATGAAACCACTCAAGTAAAAGGACCACTCAACCCACAGAAATAATTTGTTACATAACCGTTAGTGGTCATCAAAGTGTTTATTTGATATTAAAAGATAGAACTCAAGTAGGTACGTAAAAATAGGCATTTATAAGGAGTCTTGTAGAGTAAAATGTGTTAAGATTTTATGTGTCTGTCGATCGAATCGAAATCGCTCATTAAGAGAAAAATCCACATCATGTCATGTTATTCGACTACAACACGTCGTGGCAATAAATAAAAACCTTAAAGCATATTAACCATATTTAATTAGATTAGAGTATCACAGTCCACTTACTTACTAGTCGGGGGCAGCCTGACTGGTTTGCGCGCTGATCGGGCATTACACGCCGCCGCCTCGTCTGGGAGGTGCGTCTTGAATGTCTCTGAGATGTGCCCCCAACCCGCAGAGGGACCTGCCCTTTTCAGGGCGGGCCGAAATGGGGGCGAACCGCGCGGTATATGGCCTTCGGGACGATCCCGTGCATCGCCTTCCATTCGAAGGACATCACTGGGTTTTAGTGGGTGCTCTTTGACTAGCCCCATTGTGGGGCGGATCCGCTGGGGGGAGTACTACATAAACCCGGTTACCCGCGCTGGCGACCCGGAGTATGCAGTAATGCATTTCCCAGAAAAAAGTTAGAGTATGACGCACGAGATTAAATTCGTATAACACACGAGCTGAGCAAGCAAAGCGAGCGTGCCGCAGCAACGGACGGCAAAGTGCCAGAAGCAAATCGCTATTATAAAATGAAACAGCTAGTCAAACCAATTAATGCTTAGAACGCTTAGTGGCTTTTCTTCATTGCCACAGCGCTTTGAAGTCGAATAGCATGTCAACCACGACACAAATTTCGCTATATGGTTATTCTGCGATTGCCACAACGCGATATGAACTACTTTTTCGCTGAATAAGCGATTTCGATATTTGAGCGTAACATGTCTACAATTACGGTTCAAAATATACAGCCTCTATAACGGATTGACAGACGTCCAGACGGAGACATGGGAGACATATTAATGAGATCCCGTTAGCACCCCCTAGGTATGGAGTGTTCTGGCTGTGCCCTCATAAAAATGAAAGGGAACGTAGCGCAGGCGCACGCTTCAGCCGTAATAGCGTTTACACGATACGTGACGGAATTTTTAATAACACGACAGCCGGCAGGTGACCCTCCCGCCCTGCGTGAATACTTCATGGAAGAGACCTTTATTTTACTAGCAAAGACGTTGAGAAACAAAACGGCCTATTATTATTTACTACCTTTTTCATACCCTCTTTCAATAATAAAAATACTTTTGCTCGATTTTTTTCCAAGAAAAGAAGTGAAAATCTTCTTTATTCATTTTACTATCATTAATACTATTTTTTTTTGGAATAGTGCGATATTTTTTCTCCCAGCATATTCCAGATTTCTTTTAAAATATACTATACATTATATGTCAGAGCCGAAGAAAATTACGAATATATATTGAGTTACAAAATAAAATATACCAGTTTCTTTTCATCTAGCTCTATTTGTTTTATTGGCAACATTATTTAATTTTTTTTTAAATTGTTCATTAAGAATACTTTTCAAATTCATTAGTATTTATTTAAGTATTTGGGAAAAAACGCATTTCATTTTATCGTCTGCTTATTGACATCGTATAAATCACGTTCACTTTCATTTCAAAATTAGAATTAAAATATAAATTCAGTATTGTAATTTACTATTTAAAAAGTCTTATTGTTGTCAAATTTTAACGAACCTCAAGATATTCTCTATTACCCTACTTAACGTTTAACGTAATTTAATGAAGGCTACAAATATACAACTGCTGCACAGGATATAAAAACAGCATTGCTCAGAAAATATTATTCGAGTTGCGAAAGCTATAAATAAGATTAAAATTTCAAAGGCTACTCGCGTCTCGAGGCTAACATAAATCTCAACACAACACGGTAATACAACATTGCCCATCTAGAAACAAATAATCTATGTAAAATGCTAGAATTTGGAATTGATAGCATCGTTATGACCTATTTAACTCTTCGTATCATCCTTATGTGTCAATAAAATTCAGAAAGTGATGCATGTTCAGAAACAATCCTAATAGTAAAGAAAATGTTTGATATGATTTAATTAGGTTTGTTGTTAGTTAACACCTACTGAAAGTTTTGAAATGAGTACCTGAAAAAACTTTTTGTAAGGCATCCACCTATACCTTTAAAGTTGGTAAATGCGGAATCTATAACATATTTATGTTTAAATACGCAAATGCAATCACTCAATTAAATAATGAATAATAAAAATGAGTCTTGTCGTGTATTTATAATAATAGCTTGACTAGAGTTTGTGCTACTAACCTGTTTGGCCATACGCAAAAATGCAGGCATTGTAACCGTCGAAGGCATTGTCGAGGATGTCCCGGCCGAGGCATTCGAACACAGTTTTTTGCGAGGCGAAGTGTGGCAACCCTGGGTCCAGGGAATAAAAGCAGTGGTCGAACGCGAATGACTTTGGCTGTTTCCTGAAACAAAATCAAAAGATTTTCATGAATATTATTTTGAATATATATGATTTATTATTTAAATATCTGTTATTGAATTATGCCGGAATTCTGAAAATAATCGATCAATTATAAAAGAAAAAGTCCACTTTGTAATTTTTCAGTTTGCCCCCATTTTTTAAGATAAAAAATAGATAATTTACTTATTAAAAAAATGCATTATGAGGTAGAAAGTACTATTAAAAATTAATACAGGTATTTTTTGTTGATGAAACTGCATTGGACAAAATCCTATAAACTATTAAAATATACATTTTTTCACGGCATGGAAGAGAATATATCTCGCTCGCTGGAATATTATCCTGTCGCCTCTTTTAAATTGATAATTCGCAATATCAATAGGCTCTCTGCAGCTGCGGTGTGCAGTTAATGTATATGTTTTTTGGCTTTAACTTGTACCCAATACGAAGAAAATTTATTAACATTCGAACATTCTTTCTTCTTTCATTTCTATTGTCTAAAATTTATTCCGCATAGACATAAAATACGCAAAAGACTCGGCGATACTATGAAAAACGCATATCACTTCTCCATTATTAGCCTTACAAATCATTGTATCGGTGTCGAAGCCGACCAGACGTGGCGGCGGCGACCCGGTCGCATTCATAATGACATGAATGAGTGAAAGAATGAATGAATTGAGAACACCAGCCAAGAACCGGTCACGGTACCGTGGCACCGCCACTCACTGTGCTATCTTGCAGGGCTGCCTATACTTTCAATCAAAAAGGAGGGTTATGTTTTTGACCGGTATGTATGTATGTAAGAATGTTCATCAAACTACGCATCGTAACTGTACTAATGCAGTATCATTAGAATCGCCATAGTTGGCCTTGTGCTATAGGCTGTGATGTTACATTAAATTGGCAACAGTGCCCTCTAGAGAACATACATTAAGAAATTTTAAAAAATACATAATGCAATTATTCCGTGTAGGGTATCAAATGAAAGGGCATTAGAACATTTCAAATATAAAAGAATATACATATTGATAGTATTTATCTAGTGATTTTGCTTAAATACACCCGAAAAATAATTAAATAAAAAAAAAAACTTCAAAAACTAAAACCGGACTACAGCTGAATTACGCTCAAAAAAGTTTGAAACAAGCAATTTATTTTATAGCGATAGAAAAGACAGAGTAGTCGTATGCCACAGCATTTTGTTTTTCGTTTTGTTACCATTAGTGATAATTTATCTGTAGTCAGTATTTTTTTAATTATAAGTACAAATATTACTAATATACTAAAACGAGGTTTATTACCAACTTTTTTCGTGTTAATTAATTAATTAATCATTTACTTATTTGGTTTGATTTGGAGTGTATTAGTGATATTTTGGCAAAAAAAAATATCCATCCCGACAATAAGCTGATTAATTTAAACTACAATATCTATAGGTAATATTACTACCTAAAGTAAATGTATAGACAAATATTAAATATACATAAATATTAGTGTATGCAAACATAGTACAAGACAAAATCGCTCCATGCTGTGTGTACGATGAGATCTTTTAAACTACACAACTGATTTTAATGCAGATTTCTTCAATAAAGTGTTTTAAGAGAAAGATTTCTATGTATATAATCCATGACGACACGGTCAAAGCCACCGATCGAAAGCTAATATTTAGAATTTCGGCGTCTCCTAAGTTTAGGGAAAACGGGCAGAGTCACGATTACAGTGTTGCTCTGTTTCGTTCATTTCATTTTGATACACATAATTAATTTGTATTAAATGAACGAAAGTTGTAATGAAAATCTAATTTGTATTTTATTAATATACAACTTGTCGAAGCATCACAGAATGAGCAATCAACCCTTAACAAATTTCAACCAGACCTCTCTAACCGTGAAATGAGAAATTAAAATAATTTAACTAAAATAATAGTAATGGTACATATAAAACTTTTTAGATTAAACGTTTAATTAAAAATGTTAAGGCAATATAATTAGTAAGGGGTCTTATGATGGCCATAGAATGAATACTTCTGTTGAATTTATATATTATTAGCATTCAAAGATACTATGGTCAAAAGTATTTGTCCATAATATCTTTCAATACTATCGGCCGGTTTCTGAATTGAGAAAAGCACAAAATCTCAACTGATTATATTCAATAACTATTTTTTTTTATGTTCCATATGGAAGAAATTCTTAGTTTTATCAAAACGTTACCAACTGATCATTAAAAAATTATAAATAAGTAATGAAAACCTGTTTAAATGACGTTTAAAATGGCTTAAGCACGGTTTGGGACGTGCTCAACTTCAGATTCTCAATTCAGAAATCGAGTGTTAGTCATTCTCAAACGTAGATTGGAAACGTAGATGTGGTTGTTTCGTTTCATTTCAATCATCCATCCTGTCATGGCCACCATCCTGTTCCATCGCAAGATCATTGTCATCCAAATTATAAATGAATACAAAATTTCAGCTGAACCGAAAACCGGTAAGTTTCTCAAAAGCTGCAGGATGTCACTCAAACTAACTAATAGAGATACGGTATATATGAAAATTTCTCCTTTATTTGATTTGATAAATAACGTATTAAACACCGAACTACAAGACACAGTTTCCGAATAGATATATTCATGTATTCCAAGCAATGTAGAGACTGATAATAATGTATAAAAACAAGAGTACACAATCTTTTTTTAAAATATAATTTAAAAATAGATATCAAAGAAGGTTTGTCGCCAATAGTCACAAAATTTATAAGTCAAGTAGCTTGTAGATTTTGTTTATATACTTATCTAGATATAGTGTCGGAGTGTCTATACCCCAAAAAATATATGGTGTTACTGTAACTCCGTAAGTTCAAACGCTCCCTCAGTGTAAAAACTGTCACTGTGAGAAAAACATATATTGTCGCATTAGAAAAGAATGAATAAATTAATAAAATTAGATAAATTTATAATTAAAATAATAAATTATATTTTTGCCATAAGATGATACTTTGTTTACAGGGATTCATGAAATAATATCTCCCATAAGAGCGTAAGTGAATATCACATATTAATATTATAGAAAAGGTTTTATACTTTTTGCTTTAATTTAGAAGTCTGTTTATATTTTATAGTATAATATAAATTCTGATAAGTTAAAAAATTACATAAAGGAAGCCGGTGTAGTCTTTTTTTTTCTTTTTTAAAGATTTCCTAATTTGTATGAGTATTCAATACCTGAAGATACGAAAGTACCTAAATGACGTAGTTAACATGCTTATCGACAGATATATTAATTAGACATACAAATTAAATAGCTACTGTCTGACGAATTGTCGTATATCCCATAGAATATTTTATAGTTATAAATGAATATTAGACAACATCACACAATATTGCTAAAATTCTAATATAGATAGCCTTCGTATTATGGGTTATGTGAAAAAACAAAGGAACCACAGTGTACCCTAGTACAAACAGGTGGCAATAATCTTTTGAAAACCGCAATGTATAGACATAACCAAAACGTTCGTTTTGTTACAAGCTGACCAATGTTATTATTATTTTTTACCATTTTAAAACAAATTACTTTGGTAGTGACATTTTTACTTAGGTTAAATTAAAACTTTAAACTTAACTTAATTTTATTTAATTTTAATTTTCATACATTTTTTTTTAATTGGACGATTCAAAAGTGCTTCCAATAAACTTATTCAAAGAAGGAATATTTTATTTATTATGAGTTTAATGAAATCAGTCTTAATATTTATGACGCCATGCTTGGATCAAATTGTTTTATTGTAGACTAGCCTTCTTCCAGCGGCTTCGCCTGCTTGGTCCTGTATAAAACATAAAAAGCTTCCTCTTGAATCACTCCATCTATTAAAAAAAATCCGTTGCGTAGTTTTAAAGATAATCTGGGAATAAAAGATAATATTACCCACAATAACTGTTTTATTAATCTATTTCATTACTTACACAGTATAATGAGTTACAAAAAAAATTTAATATGGAATATACTATGGGAAATATTCGGGGAGCTGGTATTATTAGTAATATGTAGCGTGTGCCTATAAAAACAGTACGCACACTAACGTTCACCTTCACACGAGAATTTAAAATTATAGCCTGTTATTTTTTTGACAATTGTAGCGCAACACTCTATTCAGACAAGTATACAATCAAAGCTTGTAGATTAATAATTTAGAACCGGGTCGCCTAGCTAATTGAGGGGCCATCACTGTAAAATAATATTCCGCGTGTCTATATTTATTATCAATACACCAGCTTATTCATTCAAAATCGAGCATTAATCGTGGAAACACGTCTAAAACAATCACAAAATATACATTTACTAAATAGAAGAGACTTTTTTAAACGCGGATATATTATCAAATTCCTTTACTGTTTGTACCCGGCATCCTTATAGTTCAACCTAAAACGCAAGTTAGAAACCTGTATTTTCTCGCTTGTTTCTAATACTCGAATTTCATGAAAAACAGTGAGATGATATTTTTTAATCGTTTAAGACTATAACGAACTAACATCTTGAATAAAAGTATAAATACTTAGCGTTAAAAAATGTATTGCGTTACATATTGCTTATCAAAACATCACCTTAGTTTTCTTATCAGCTTCAATAGCAAAAATATTTAACAATTAGTCATACCAAGAGCACAGTTTTATTAACGAATTCTTTGTCCAATGTCGGCGATGCAGTTAGTTAGGTATGTGGGTCATTATTAATAGATATCGAAATTAACATTGCTAATTTAAAATTATTTGAACCGAATGCAAAGAATTTGTGAAATTAAATAATTTATGTGTAAGCAATCTTAATATGGATTCTTTAAATTTAACTCATAACCATAATTTCAGACGGTAATACACCTTGCTGCTTTAATTAAAATGGTTGCTTTTCATAAATATAATACTTTTAACCTAACACTTTCTTTGTAATTACTTTTTGCCCACTTTTTTCTTAATAATACACGACCATTATCTATACTAATA